CGCAATCTGTGTGTCAAATTGTCCAGATTGATATTTTTTATTTTTATTTTATCTGTAGCGTTCATAGAAGGATGGAAAATAGTGCGTTCCATTCATTGACTTACAATTATGTTCCATTCTGTGCTTTTGTTGTGATGTTTTTGTAATTTTTATTTTTTAATGTTGTTTCGTGGCTTCTGGGCGGCTGGCGGATACAAATTATATTATTTGATTTTTATTTTAATCTATTGTTACTATTATTTTTATATATTATTAATTCATTCACTCTATTTTCATTTTATTTTTGTTTTTATTTATTTTTTTTTTTTATTTTTTTATTTTTAGTATTATTTTATTAATATTTTGTTATTACTTATATACCAATTAACTATGGATATATCAATATGTAATCTAAGTGACTTATATATGTCTTGCTCCTCTGAGTCTTCAGACGATAGCTTCCACAGTTTGCCTGCCCTTGATGAGCTGCTGCATAACACCTTCTCAGAAGTTCCTAAGAATTTCAATGTAGTACACATCAACGCGCAGAGTATTCCAGCGCATTATGCGGACATGCTAGCTACGTTTGACAACAAAAATATCCACGCTATTCTTGTGTCAGAGACATTTTTAAATCCTAGCCTTTCTTCTACTTCTGTCTGTCTTCCAGGTTTCCAACTGATTCGCAATGACCGTGCTAGTTCTTCACATGGTGGGGTAGCCATTTATCTTCGTAGCCATATTCCTTTTGCAATCCTCAGTACTTCACCTCAACCCCCTCCACCTGATACTGCAGAACATCTGTTTCTGGAAGTTACTTTGTCTCATCATAAACTACTTCTGGGAGTTTACTATTGCCCATCTCTAAGAATTGACTACTTTTCCGCTCTTGAAAAGCTCCTTGAAGACTTTGCTCCTTCATATGATCATACCATTTTGATGGGTGATTTTAATACTTGCCTTCATAAAAATGATTCACGTTCGAGCAGTCTTCGTTCTGTTATAAATTCCTGTAACTTACATATTCTTCCATCTAACGCTACGCATCATTTTCCTAACTGTACTCCCTCTCTTCTGGACCTCATAGCAGTCTCTTCTCCCGAACTTGTCACCAAGCATGGTCAATTCACGGCTGATGCCTTTTCCTATCACGACCTCGTGTACCTGTCGTATAGGGTGCGCGTGCCCAAGGCTAAGCCTAAAATTCTCCTACAACGTAATTTTGGAGCCATGGACTTAGATCGATTGCGTGAAGACGCGAGTAGAGTTGACTGGTCAGTAGTGGATAGTGTTGGTTCGGTGGATGAACAGGTCGAGTTATTTACGTCGCTACTGACTCACCTTTATGATGTACATGCACCAGTTCGACCCGTTCGGATCAGGCACCTTCCTGCACCGTGGCTGAGTAATGACCTTCGAAGTTATATGGAGAAGAAGAATCGTGCGAAAACCAGATACAAAATTGAACCATCTGATGCGAATTGCAAAAAATATCACCGAATCAGAAATCGCTGCAACACATTGATTAGGGATGCTCAGCGACGCCACATCCACACATCCATCGAAAATGGTAACCCCACTAAAATTTGGAATTTCCTTAAGTCGCTTGGAGTTGGTAAATCTCATAGTAATAATTCTTCTTTAGACCTGAATCTAGATACCCTTAACAATCACTTTTCATCTGCGCCTGTCTTTGACTGTTCAGTCAAGGACAACACTTTGCTATATCTTTCATCTTTACCAACTCCTGACTATTCATCTTTTGTTCTTAATCAATTTACTGACTGTGATGTTAAGAAAAACGTTTTAGCTATCGCTTCCAATGCTGTAGGCAGTGATTGCATTAGTCGTAATATGATCATTCCGCTCCTCGATCTCCTCACTCCCGTCATAACTAAAATCCTTAATAAATCTGTCTCTACCTGTGTTTTCCCCTCTGCCTGGAAAGACGCTTATGTCATTCCATTACCAAAAAAAAACAAACCAAACTTCCCTTCAGACTACCGTCCTATTTCAATTCTTCCTTTCCTGTCGAAAGTCCTAGAAAAGCTTGTTCACTGTCAGTTGACTAATTTCGTAAACAGGAACAACCTTTTCAATCCTCTCCAGTCTGGTTTCCGCATTGGTCATAGTACGACTACTGCACTCACGAAAATCACTGATGACATCCGTTTGGGTATGGAAAATCAACAATTGACTGTGCTGACACTCCTTGACTTCAGTAATGCCTTCAATTGTGTTGACTTTGACCTATTATTGGAGGCATTGCGTATTCTTAACATATCTCCAGCAGTTATTGATTGGTTTCGAAGCTACCTCTGTGGACGTCGGCAGTGTGTACGCAATGAGAATTCTTTCTCTACGTGGTGCGATATTTCCGCCGGTGTCCCGCAGGGTGGCGTCCTTTCTCCTCTCTTATTTTCTTTGTTTATTAACTCTATCACACAATCCCTCACTTCTTCTTATCATCTTTATGCTGATGACCTCCAGATTTACACTCAGTCGTCTATTCAAGACTTACCACGTGCCATTAGTACTACCAATGTGGACCTTGAATCCATTCGTCAATGGAGTCAGTCCTTTGGCCTTAAAGTTAATCCATCCAAAACACAATCGATTATTATAGGTAGCACTTGGTTCAATTCTCGTCTAAATCTAGCCTCCTTACCCCCTGTGGTTTTCGATGGTGTCTGTATTCCTTATTTGGATACAGTCAGGAATTTGGGGGTAATTTTTGATAAATGTCTGACTTGGAAGCCGCAAGTTGCTGAGGTTAGCAGGAAGGTGTTTGGTGCGCATTTCTCTCTGAGAAGGCTTAAAAACTTTTTGCCGACTAAAACCAAAATTACTCTGGCCCAGAGCATTCTCCACCCGATACTGGACTATGCAGATGTTTGCTACCCAGATTTGTCAGTAACTCTGCTCAATAAATTGGAACGGCTCCAAAATATGTGTGTTAGGTTCATCTTCGGACTACGTAAATTTGACCATGTCTCCCAATTTCGCGCACAAATTAAATGGCTGCCCATCCATCGGCGTAGAGATCTTCATATTCTTTCACTTCTCTATTCAATTCTGTTCTATCCCTTTACGCCTTCTTATCTTAAAGATCGCTTTACTTTCCACTCTTCTACACTCTGTCGTCCCCTTCGCTCCTCTGATACTCTCTTACTTAACTTGCCCTCTCATACCTCTAACTTTTATTCCAACTCTTTTACGATTTCTGCGATCAGATTGTGGAATTCTCTCCCTGAATCGATTCGACGATCCCCTTCTCTTGATTCCTTCAAACAACGTGTCAAGGATCACTTCCTCAACTCCTAAATTTCGTCTGTTCTCCACTATCCTTTCATTTATTTCCTACATTCGTACTTCATTTTTCTTTTTCTATTAAAAGTATATAAGCATTTAATATTATTGTGTATTTATTGTTATGTATGTATTAATAATATTATTGTTATTTGTATGTATATGTATATTAATCTATGGATATGTATATATTTTTATTATTACTTATTATGTAGTGTACTTATGATGATATTCTTTGGTTGCACCCCTTTTGCATATCCGAAATGTCTATCCTAAGGTTGCCTGGAAGAAATTGCTACATAGCAATAAGGCCGCCTGTTGCACATTGACTTACTACTACTATTATACTTAAGCTTTTGTATTGTATTTTAATTGTAATTTTATGTGCAATAAAGAATATTTCATTCATTCATTCATTCATTCATTCATTCATTCAATTTCGCGAAAAGAAAAAGGTTCACAATCAGGTTGAGTAACAGAGCCCAGAGTGGTGAGCGTGGCTGCTTTGATAGAGTCGGCAACAATAAATGGTGAGTACGTAAATTATTTGTTACATTGAGTAAATTAAGGTCAAGTAAGTCGACAGTAAGTCACGATCTCTACCCACACCAAGTGATCTCAAGAACTTCCAAGTTTGACCCCTAGATAAGCCTTTCATCGAAGAATGGATGTAACGCCGTTTGTCATTATTAGATTCGAAAGTTATTGTTTAATAAACAAGGGTTAAGATCACCCATCAGTATTACATGGTCGTAAGAGGGACTCAAGGATTCAAGGGTTGTCTCAAATGAGTCTGAATAGTTAACATTAATACTAGGACTATAAGTAGCACCTACTAAGGGAGCGGTGTAGTGTAAGCTAACCTCCAGAAACATATACTCCAAAGACCCAGTGACAGTGTTAGGAAACTTGTTGAGCTGACGACGGAGCACGGGATGTGGTTCTTGATGTAAATACATTCACCACTACCAGTCCCAACCCTATCGTTTCTATATAATTTATACCCACCGAGTGTAAAAAGAGGGAACGGTAAAGATGGTTTGAGCCAGGTCTCTGAAATTAAGATTCCATCAAGTATGACGTTGTTGAATGACATGATTAATTCGAAAATGTGTGCAGGGACACTCTGCGCGTTAATATGCACCAGGTTAAGGAAACTGGATTTTCCGTGAAATATTAACCGCAGCTTAACATCTAGTGAAGAGCCATCGGAGTCAGAAGAAATGGAAATATCACTACAAGCACTGTCAAATTCATCAGAGCTATCAGTAAAATAATTAGCGTTTGGAGACATAAATACAAATAAACAATTTTATAATGTATAAACAATAAACATTACGTGTATAAACGAAATACTTCCTAAAAAAAGCCAATAAAACAGAAGAAACCACCAGTCAGGGTTGGCAATTCAATAATACATACACAAAATCATCATAGCCATACAAATTAATAAAGTTGTAATACTTATATCTATCTTAGAACTGAATGAACTTAATGTTTAATTAAGATAAAATGTAGACTGAAATGTAATTAATTATTTCATAATTAAAACTGTAGAACGAAAAGTCACATTGTTATTTCGACTGAATCTTCGACTTTCCATATTTACATAAATCCATCAAAAAGTTAAAATTTTAGAACGAAAAGTCGCACTCACAGCTAAGCGAACATTACCATGGTGACTCACTGGTGACCTCATTGAGAGTACAGTGTTCTGTGCTGGTGACGCATTGGTGGGTGGTTGGTGGTCTGTTTTGATATAATACTCTGTGATTTTGTATTAGTGGCTTGTGGTATCCGCCCCGTTCCAGAAAACTTCAGAGACTAAGCTTTGGTAAGCAGGTACATACACAATATATACCTTATCCGACTACCTCATTGATGAGGTGTTTTTATTATTTACTTTTCCTATGTAATGCAAGATAAATTTAAGAATAGCCGATAACTTCAATACTCACTGTTTTTGCACATAAATAAAATGAAATACATATATTGAACTGTGATATATTTTAATCAGCAGTGTTATTATATCACGATAATAAGTGAAATCAACTTATACTAAGGCCCACTATACGCATAATGTCGAAAAGATGTGACAAAATTATTTGTTAATTTTCAGTTGAATTTCCATAAAACGTAACGACACCTAAATAATATTATTTGTATAATGGTATATATTGGTATATATACAAAATTTCACGAAAAGTATCTACACGATTTAATAGAAAATAACACAACGTAGCTCAGAATTATTTAAGGTTTTTGTAAATGAACAATTTATAAAAAACTGAAATAATTCACGTAACCATTATAAAATCACCGCCAAACCTTCTTCTCGATTGGAAGAGTAAATTGTCTATGTAGTTTTTTAATTTTAGTATTTTTTACGTGTCTCATTAATAAAATTTTAGGGTAATTAATTTGAAACGTGATTTATTAATGATTTGTGGATTTCAGTGAGAAGTAACGCAAATAAGAAATATAATTGCTCTTATGTCTTGTTTGAAATCCTTCGTGTACGAAATATTGAACTAGTTAACGGTTCACCAACTGTAATATAATATTTTTTATTTAATTTGATGTTTCAATAATTTGATGTTAATTAAATTTATATTTTTAAATACTCACCTATATTAAAATAAAAATTCAATAATTTGCCTTACCAAGAAAATTAAAGAAACAAGTCAATTCCGGTAACCTAAATTGAACTGTACCGTTTTGCTGTTCTCTGAAATTTACAGACGAGTAAACTCCCTAGATTTATATTAAGTATTTATTATTTGAGGATTTATGAGTGTCAGTTAAAAGCGGACCAGAGACACATAACTGTTGTTCATTTGTGCCACTAATGAACAACAGGTACGTGTCTCTGGTCTGCTTTTAACTGACACACAAATATAAGGCCACAAGTAGCCAGCCGCCAAGCTGCCTCCGTGGCTGAACAGGTACCATGCCGGACTGCTACACAGAGGTCCCAGGTTCGATTCCCGGGCCGGGAGAAATATTTGTATGGCCTACATTTATTTCTCTCGTGAGTTTGGGTGTAATTTGTGGTTGTCTATGTGTGTGTGTCCATAGCACCCGCGACACAGGGTTTTCCCTAGTGCGGGGCTATATTGAGTGCGTGCGTTATTAAAAAAAAAAGCTGAACTGTGCATGTGATATGTTTGCCATCGTGCTGAAAGTAATTTGCCAATCGCCGTAAGACACGTAAGGCAGTCGCCGATTGTTCATCAGGGTGCGCCATAGGTACTAGGAAAACGATTCGACGATTCGTGCTTCATTGCGTGGAGGCTCATTTTGTGCACCCCTAAGACATTATCGTGATAATTATCATTGATAATTATCATTCTATAAAATATCATTATCATTGATAATTATCACATCGATCTGGTTTGCGGCAATTTATATTACCCAGCATTATGAATTTGACAAGACAGTGGGATTTTTTGTTATAATAAATGAAACTGATGGTATAGTATGGTGTAACAGGCTGGTGTCTCCAACACTTGTCGATTTTTCGTGAAATACTAACAAAACAAACGAAATGAAACTATATCAGATAACAAAATATTTATCTACTGTGATAAACTAGTATTTAAACCCTTACTAATTACTACTACATACTATTTTAGTTTTTGATGCTGATGTGATCAACAGACGAGTCTGCGGAAAATGGCTTATTTTGGCAAGGAATTCAAACTAGACAGGCAAGAGAACTACGATGACTTCGTCAATTTTGTTTACGATGGAGGTGGGTAACTATGTCGTAACGTAAGTCTGTCAATATATGTCTGGTTAATTTTAATTAAAGCGAAACCTCCATTCATGCCATAAAAAACAACGTTTGTTCTTAGAGTTTTGGAATTTACAACAACTTGTTTTACTGCCCATGACTCCCGTATCTCAGCTGTTTTATCGATTTATAAAAATCGATAGAATGCGTGATGCGCGGAACTCTGAATCTAAAGAAGGATGGCGACATCCCGTGTATTTTCTGACCCAGTGTTTTTGACGACGTGCATTAAAGTGATCTTGCCAATACTTGTGATTCATTATCAAAACATCAAAAAAGCTAATTGAGTACACCTGTAGAAGCTGGGGTTATAAAGTTGATACAGGTTATCTTTATAACATTGTCCTGTTTTTCGCTTCAGATGTTTGTTCGTAGTAGCAGAAAACAACAAGTTTTCAGTTTGTTCCTAAAAATAATAAAGAACTTGCTGAATATTCCTAAATCTTCTAAACTCTGCCACATTTAATACAACGTTAACATTTTCTGTCGCAATGAAAATGAATAAAAATTAAATCTGCCCAAATGGCAGAAATCTGCCACAAATGGTCACACTGTTCTCAATCGCGAAGTGACATTGGCAAGAGGCCTCTTGTCAAAACGTTCCTTTGGTAACTTTCGTATTTCTCATTTAAATATTGTCAAAACATTTTTGTCACATTGTGTTGTATTTTTTACTTTGTATCATTATTGTTTACTTGATTATTTGATTAGGTATTTTATAGCTTTAATGTTTTATGTGTGTACTATAAAATAACCAATACTTCATATTCAATTCAATAAATCATGCTTAAAATCAAACGTACGTACAAGAACGTTACCTAATCTATGGTCGAATTAAATCAATTGCGTTGTGTTCTTGCATCTGTTCTAAAATACATTGTTTTACAATTTCTTTATTTCAGACTTCTAAAAATATACAAAAATGTATTTATAACTAGACATAACCTATAACGTAAAATTATGCTAGCAAAGTCCATGAACGGCACTTCATTGGTTTTGGGTCGGCTGTCGCCATCCTTCTTTGAAATATTTTCAAGTTCTCATACGAACAAACTCTCGAAACCAGCCGCAAACACACAAAACGAACACACACACCCATCCACTCACGAACAAACACACGTACATCCACCCATGAACATACAGTCACTCAACTCACTCATTTATTATTATTATTTTTTATTTTATTTATTTATTAATTACAAAAAAACATTTTCTTAATCTAGAACATAGTCCCACAAAACTGAATTATTCAGTTTGACTGCGGGATCAAAACATGAATCTCGCTATTACAATATAAATAATTAATCTAAACTAGTCAACAAGTGCTGAAATAAAAGACGTTTAAATTTATTTTTCTTATGTTCACGTCTAATAGCCTCAGGGAAACTATTCAGTAGGTACGGAATACGTTTTTTTAGGGTTCTATCTCCATAATAATTTTTAACCTTTGATACTACATATTTACCTGAGGTCATTGATGTCGTGTTACAGTCATTATTAATAGGACACAATAATGAGCCACGCTTCTGTGTTTCAAAGTTATTAACAGCTACAAGATATTTGTGCTTTATGGAAACTGGCAGAATTTTACAAATTTTAAACAATTTATTATATTCTCCATTACATTTATCTTTTGTTTTACTATTCACTAAGAGTTTCAAAAATGTAACTTGCATATTCTCAAGTCTGTCTATGTATGATTTAAATGAAAGTCCATAACAGTCTAAAGCATAACTTAATATGGAGTCAACCAATGCCATGTATAAACACTTCAATGTGCTGGCTGGAACTTTTAAAATTAAATGATAAAATTTTCCCAACAATATTCTTAGCTTACTATTTCACTCTTATTATTTTTGCATCGTTTTTATTTTGATTTTTTAAATTAATACGAATGAAACTATTTTTCCGGATTTAAATCGCGTATATTTGTTTTTTCAAACAAGCCGACGTTTCGGGCCCTTTACAGGTCCCATGGTCACGGTTGAGTCAACCGTATGTGTAACAATCGCGAAAACCTAAGAACTCGATATTTTTAAATTAAATTTATTTTTAATAATAATAATAATGTGCCAAATAGCCCCAACAATTGTCTTAGGAACAGTCATAGACTTCCCAAATTGATCCTACCGGGAATAGAGCCCGGGACCTCTTCATCCGAAAGTCGTTAATAACTGCGACAAAATCTTGTCGACTACCGTATATAACAATTATTACGTAAATCTTTTATTCGTTCGTATAATTTTTAGTACGCGTTCATATTTACGGAGAAAATCATTGCCCATCAGTATTGTAATCTTCCTTACAGTTGCCGACGAACAATACAGACAAGGCCTAATTGCCGATAAACCCACTATCAAACTCATCAAATCAGGCGATGGTTACACTTGGTGTTGTACTAAGTCTGATAAAAGCACACACGAGGAACGCTTCGTACCTGGAGTTGAATATGATGAAGTTATTGGAGGCAAGAATGTAAGTACTCATAAATATAAACGAACTCGGTGGCCCTACGGTTTGCAAGATGATATGCTCGATTCCCTGTAAGACCAATTAGAGGTAGTGAGCAGTAGAGCTCCGTGTGAAAGAATTTGTCTAGGGAAGTACTAACTGAAGTCTAAGATTCAACTTATGTCTCAGGGTGACGGGCAAAGTGGCAGTGCTCCTCAAATAGTGTAGTATATAGTAATAGGGTCATGGAAAATTGTCAATTTTTTCTCAGAAAAAAAAGTATTTTTCCGAATATTTTTTCAATATTTTTTCCTTTAATTTTCCACAGTTGACGTTGACACTCGTCAAAAGTAGAAGTTACTGAACGAAAATGATGGAGCCTTAAAATAGTAGATTGTAAACCGCTTCATTTTACCAGAGACTAAGAATATAAATACGAACATTAAGAGCATGAGAAGTGAAAAGGTTTTTTTCGCTGTTGTGAAATATATTTAAATCTCGTTTTTGTTTAGCTATACTTTAAGTACAAGTTTATTGTATAATTCACGCTAAATAAGACTTCAAAAGATATGTCTAAACGTAAAACATAATATGAGCCTACGAAATAATATTTTTCCATTTTTTTGAGAATTTTCCGATAAAATTTCCAGCATTTGAAGTTTTTCGGAAATACCCAAAGATTTAACTTTCTGAGCGGCACTGCTACGCCTATGGACTGGCGTGTTGCTTACCAACAGGTGTATGACTTGTTCGTTCTGTCCCTTGATATCATTGGATTCTTCGTAAACTTTTATGTTTGAAAATAACTCCGCTTTGAACGTTATAGTAAATTCTTCTGTATATAAAATGTTCTGATTTTATCTTTACTCAACGACTAACTGATCAACTTAACTAACTTTCCCTGTAAAATACCCTCATATCTAATTTCATTAAGTAACGCCGTAGGTATTGGCTGGGTTTCATTAGTCAAGACGCTAGAACAACAAAGATATAATCAAAATGTCTACTAATTAATTTAAAACAAGAGACGGGTTATTTTCAGGTTAGTTTTCTCTACCTAATTCCTTTTGTCGTAATTTCTTTAATCATTGCGCAATGAGCGGTCATTTTACTCCGTCTTCAAAAAAGACAAACTACAGGTGGCAATTTCTGTTATTGAAGTATTCAAGTATATTATCCTGAAATATTAAATAATAATACAGGATAAAACACTCAAAACAAACCTGAAAGTTACCCATACTTTACCCCCTACACTTATTAACCAACGCGTTATTGGCTGGATTTTATTTGCCAAAGACGCCAGCCAATAAGTGTACAAAGAAATAATCAAAACTTCTACTAATTACTAATTCTACTAATAACTATACGAAACGGTGAACTATAACACAAGAAACTCTACTGCTATTAAAAAATGCGTTATTATTTCTAAGGCTTGGTGTAAGATGTACGTAATGAATACTGGATGGACTTAGGTACTATAGTCGGCATCCTTTCAACCACAAGCTCCCACCAGAATGACCATCAAGTCGTAAGAGCTTCCTTCGACATACCACCGTTACAGAAGGTAGCTCAAAAAACGCAAGGCGTAAACTTTAGTAAGCCAAATTCGTTGTTCCTCTTGATTTTATCACCCCAGCGGAAAGTCTTCCTCTCGGGCACAAGTTGCAGTGGTCAATGTGGAAATCCCTGAACCGTCTCATGTCACAGGTTGGGCAATGCAAAGACAACATGGTGAAATGGGGATATAATCTTATTATAATGGGGATATAAATTGCGCTTGCGGATTCCCCACAAAAAAGTTATGTCTCACTTGCCCGTGCCCACTGTGTCCTACCAGTTGCATCCCCGAAGACCTGCTAAAGGCATAGATAGATGATAAAAGTGGCTGCTTACTGGACCAAATAAATATAACACTGGTTTGGTATTTTATTGCTTTATGTCATTGACACAGATTTACTATATAATGGTAATAATCACATCTTTTCAGGCCAAATATACGACCACCGTGGACGGCAACGTCTTCACTAAAGTCACGAAGTTTCCGGAAGGCAATATCACGATTAAAAGGGAGTTCAAGGACGACGAACTTGTTATTGTACGTACCTATCATCGATATCGCTATATTTCTTAATTGTTTGTTTTGTATCGGTTGTTAAATACTGGTAATTAATTAAAGGCAGCATTTCTTTTTAATTTTCTGTACTTTGCAAAGCTACTGACTAGGAATAGCACATGGGTTTTCAAGATGCCGCCATCCCTGAAGCCCCGTGGACTTATTTTTCTATATTGTGTCGGGTCTGTGTGTTTGCAACAGGTCTTTAGTTACTTACTTTGAAATCAGAGCAAAGTGTGTGACGTTGTCTAATATTAAAAAATATATTTATAATTTTCACAACAACGCTTCAACGTTTTGCAGATAAAAATGAATACCATCTTTTTTTACATTTGCAGTCATTTTCAAATAAAGAAAACCCTAAATTGTTTGGCCCGTATTGGCCATTGCGGGAAGAAAAGTATGTGTCCCACTCAGTGTCTCGTTCAGTTGTAGACCACAGATCATTATTGTACTAAGATAATAATGAGTTTCTATTCTTTTCAGGCCTACACCTGTACTAAGTGGGAAGGCACAGCTGTCAGATACTTCAAGGCTTAAACTTGTACTCGCATGTTATTACTTTTTATTGTATAACAACGTAGAGGCCTAAAATGACGTTTTACTTTTTGTGTCCTCCTGACTTATTAGTGGTAGGCAGGTCTATTATTATTTATTTTATTTATCTAAAAGGAAGACCAGCAGCTTAGAAGTATCTTAAATAATAATAACAAATAATAAGTAACAACTGAGTGCCAATTACAGATCCTCATAAATAAAAACATAGGTGCATAACCACTAAATAAACCACGTAATCTCCATTAGTGTGAACTTTTGAGTAGATATAAAAAACAAAAATACTAGACATAATTATATGACAATCTATGATTTTACCTTTATTTCATAACTAAAAAAGGCATACAAATTGGTTTTGAAGCTTTAATTGCTCCATATTGCGTATGAAGCAATGACCTTTTGTAGGTAGGTTTGAAAAGTACCAAAGGATTTTCGACCAAAAACGGAGTTACGGGGTTTTCAAATAATATACCATATCTGGCTACCTTATTGATGTGTTTTTATTATAAACAAAGTTTTTTTTTAATGTTAAAGTCATAAGTATAATATATAACAACAAATCTTGATGAGAATGGTCATTAGTTTCGAATTATTTAACAATCCCAGTCTCTAGTTTGCAACGATGGCATATTTCGGAAAAGTATTTGTTTTGGATAAACAAGAGAACCTTAACGAATTTATGGAATCCCTGAAACTAGGTAAGTATCACAAAATTTATTAATATCGGGAGTAAGCTATTTGTTACTAATCTCTATGAGAATTATAATGATAAGGTCGTTTAATTTCTTGTGGCCCTATCGGTTTGGGACCTTATTTTTATAATACTAAGCGACGGGACGACCAAGTGCACCTGTTGTTAAGCGACACACTTACCCATAACAGTTACAGTGCCACTCAGAGAGAACCGCAAAGATCTGAGGAGCACTGCCGCTGGTCCCGTCACCCCGATAATTTATTACTATTTTATAATTGACAAGATCTTTCCAAGTTGATTTTTCAAACCAGTAATGTTTTACTGGTTTGAAAAATCAACTTGGTTTGGTCTATGATGGTTAATGAGTAACTCTCGATTATAAATTTGGAAATTAAAAATCTACCAATGGCCTTATTTTGAATTTAAACTAAAAATGGAACTAATTTAATTTGCTACTCCGCGAACCCAGTGAATCTTAAATCGTGGAAAATGGCTGTGTTTGTGTTGATTTTTTTCATTCAGTTAATTAGTTTTTAGTTAGTTAGTTTTCGTACAACTGTACGTGGTGGTGTTGTTTGTAACTACAAACACCACTCCAAAAATATACCCAATTGGATACAGGGCTGTGTAGCAAATTAATTTACCTCTATTTTTATTTCAATTTCAAATAAGTCCATTGGTAAATTTTTAATTTCCTCCACTTTAACATCGAGAGCTACTCACCCCAGACCGTTTTACTGGTTTGAAAAATTAGCCGTCGTTATGTGTGAATCAACGTAGTGTGCCATTCCTGGTTGCCACGTATAATCAGCACTAGGTTTTTATAAAATAATATCAAGTGATGGGACGAACAAGTCGTGCGCCTGATCGTAAGCTACACGCCTGTCCATAACAGTTGCAGTACCACTCAGAGCTTTAAATCGCAAAGATTTGAGGTGCCGCTGCGCCCGTCACCCTGAGACATAAGTTGACAAGTCCCATGTGCCTGTAATTTCACCAGCACCCTTACCCTTCTAAACCGGGACACAGTAATGCTGACATTACTGCTTGGCGGCAGAAATAGGTAAGGTGGCAGTACTTCCCTGGACAAACTCTTTCACAAGGAGCTTTACTGCTACTAAGGTGGTCAACTGTTCATAAAGTATGACGCTATATGTGCCTCAGCACTTGCTAGATCAAGACTTCTTTCTAGGGCACCATTTGAAAAGTGTTTTTGTAATGTAGTCTTGGAAGTAGAAATACAGCAGGAAGAGCTGTCTGTAGCGCAAAATGTCACTAATTCACCTCTTTACAACAAGTCGTTGAAACAGTTTTACATTTTTCGTACAAAATAAGTAATAGGAGCACTTTGATACGTACCAAACTGCCCCACTCATTAGTATATAAAAGTACCCCACCGGCCAGTTTAGAAAAAGAAATATTTAAAAAAAAATCTTTATATATCTCTCAAAGTCGTATGCAATTCTAGTTATTGGAAATACTAGTTTACCATCGTTCGTCATCGATGACTGAACAAAACTGCAGTGGCACTCGTATTTGTGTCGCTTATTTTTTTAGTCAACGGCTATGAAAACCACTTTGTGACCTGTGGACCGACAACGGCTAACTGGTGAGCTGCATCATCGCATGTCTATTACTCACACAAAGGCATGTTTTAGTATTATCACAACTAATATTATGTTTGAAGGTGTGGAGATAATGCAGGTGTATGATTGTGCCCCCTGTATCAAACTGCCCCGTTTCTCCCTATTATTTGACATGGTGAAAACGACTGTTTCTATTTGTAAGCTAAATTTTCCATCTTAACTAAATTTAGACTAAGTTATTGTGTAATCGTCTGGCACGCTTACTTATTATTAACGAATGTATTTTCAACAATAACGTAAGTCAGGAAAAGCATGTTTCTAAATGCCGTAATCTCAATATCCAACAACCCCTAAGCCAACAAAGCATCAAAATGTAATGCCATATATTAAGCCCACGAAAGGGGTGAATCCACAAAATATTGTCCCTTTCGAGGGGTGCATAAGGGAAGACCGCAAATGTACCGGATATAATATAGAACGGATGGTTAGAGATGATAAAAGTGTTTGAATACTTTTTTGCCGCTTTCAGAAAGGAGGAAATAGTCAATTCGTCAGACAAATTTACTAGGTAGCTATTTGAAAATCTTTATTACTTTGTTCACTCTAATCTAATCATGAAATGCTTAAGTACCAAATATTTATTTATTTATATAGACCACTAATTATGGTTTCTTACCACGGTGTGAATTCTTTGTATTTTCCGGACATTTCGGAACGGTTACACGCTCCATGGTCACATTCATGGGATGAGTGGCCAGCGGCAGAAGACTGCTTTAAGAAACAGATACATCTGGCTATCCTTTTTCGCTGTTGACGACTACATCTCTATTACTTGTGGCGTTACGATTGTTACTCACTGAACTCGTGACCATGGAGTGTGTAACCGTTCTGAAATGTCGGGAAAATAAAAACTCATACCGTGGTAAGAAACATGTAATTAGTGAAATCATTTAGTGGATAACCCGAAAACCTTAAAATATATAATCCTCAGGTGCAGTCGTTCCTACCTATACTTCGTGTTTTTAGAATTAGAAAAAACGTAAACAAAGAACTTCTATCTTCTTCATCATAAACCTTTTTGTTGAGACAAGAAATCATAATAAAGGAAAACATGAGAATCGATGACACGATAATTATGTCATATATATTTTAAAAAGTTTCCATTTAATGTTTGTAACCTCTGTTTTTTATGTTTCTGTAAGTAGAGAAGACAAAATTATCGTGACATCCGGGCGTCCTGAATCCAACATCCGGATTCAGGACGCCCTCAGGTGCATGGCTGCTCTTTACAACGTTCTGGTGTTCAAGCTTATACGCAGAAAAACAATGGTCCCCGTTTACAAAACTGTAATTAGACCGATCTTGATGTACGGTTGCGAAGCTTGGATACTGACGTTGAAAGAGGAAAATAAGTTGTTAGTGGTGGAAAGAAAAATCTTACGGATAATTCTGGGACCGACTCAGGGAGGATGGGAGCTGGAGGCTAAGGAAGAACCTTGAGATTGAAGATTTAGCTGCGAGCTTCCGCAGCCTCCGACGCGTGGAGAGAATGGGAGAAGATCGGTGTCGCGAGAAGGGCTTATTTGTGATACCGAAAAGACGCCGCTCAGTCGAACGTCACAGGTAACGCTGTAGCGATGAAGTTCCGAAAGATCTCAAGGACCTCGGTGCTGGCGGCTGGAAAGAGTAGGCTCAGAACCGGGAGGCGTGGTAGAATCTGGTGTCGAAAGTCAAAACGTAAGTAAGTAATTAGTAAGTTTCTTTAAGTGTTTTGCAGTGCAACTTTTTGAAATAGATTAAGTATGCAAAGATTTTCATTTCATCTTTAAGGAAATACAACGACTAAAAGAAAATATAAACAAGCCAACGTTTCGGGCCCTTTACACAACTTTACAAAGCTAAACAAAACTTGTTATTATTCGTAATACACACATCGAACACTTATAAAAAATTCCTTCGGTCCTGCCGTATTCGAACCGAGAGACGTCTTATATAATTAACCTATAAAAATTAAATTAATAATTAACCTATTGAATATTGTCTTATAGATATTGTGTGGAAACCATAAAAGAAAATGGCCGCCATCAAAATTTCTCAAACTGAAGAAACCATGTGCTGCGTTCAAGTTGTTTATCGTTTATTATTCGATTTCCCCCTTTCCAGGTGCCATCAGATAACTGACGTCAATTTATAAGTGTCAAAGTCAA